GGGGAATGGAGGATACGGGATTGGGGATATGGGATTGGGGAATGGAGGATATGGGATTGGGGAATGGAGGATATGGGATATGGGATTGGGGGATATGGGATTGGGGAATGGAGGATATGGGATATGGGATTGGGGAATGGAGGATATGGGATTGGGGGATATGGGGTTGGGGAATATGGGGGATGGGGAATGGAGGGATATGGGACTGGGGATTGGAGGGATATGGGGTCAGGGATTGGGGGATATGGGGTTGGGGAATGGGGAATGGAGGGATATGGGGTCAGGGATTGGGGAATGGAGGATTTGGGGTTGGGGAATGGAGGATATGGGATATGGGATTGGGGGATATGGGGTTGGGGAATGGAGGGATATGGGATTGGGGAATGGAGGATATGGGAATGGGGAATAGAGGGATATGGGGTCAGAGTTTGGAGAATTCAGGGATATGGGATTGGGGAATGATGGGATATGGGGCTGGGGAATGGAGGGATATGGGATTGGGGAATGGGGAATGGAGGATTTGGGATTGAGGAATGGAGGATATGGGGTCAGGGATTGGGGAATGGAGGGATATGGGGTCAGAGTTTGGAGAATGCAGGGATATGGGATTGGGGAATGATGGGATATGGGATATGAGATTTGGGAACACTGGGATATGGGGTCAGGGATTGGGAATGGAGGATATGGGACTGGGGAATGGAGGGATATGGGAATGGAGGATATGGGATTGGGGAATGGGGAATGGAGGGATATGGGGTCAGGGATTTGGGAATGTTGGGATATGGGACTGGGGAATGGAGGGATATGGGATCAGGGGTTGGGGAATGCTGGGATATGGGATTGGGGAATCCAGGGATATGGGGTCAGGGATTTGGGAATGCAGGGATATGGGATAAGGAATTTGGGGTATGCTGGGATATGGGATTTGGGGTCAGGGATTTGGGAATGCAGGGATATGGGATTGGGGAATGCTGGGATATGGGATATGAGGATGCAGGGATATGGGATAAGGGATTTGGGGATGCAGGAATATGGGATAAGGGATTTGGGGATGCAGCGATATGGGATTTGGGGTCAGGGATATGGGGATGCAGGGATATGGGATTTAGGGTCAGGGATTTGGGAATGCAGGGATATGGGATAAGGGATTTGGGGTCGCTGGGATATGGGATTTGGGGTGAGGGATTTGGGGTCGCTGGGATATGGGGTCAGGGATTTGGGGTCGCTGGGATATGGGATGTGGGGTCAGGGATTTGGGAATGCAGGGATATGGGATAAGGGATTTGGGGATGCTGGGATATGGGATTTGGGGTCAGGGATTTGGGGTCAGGGATTTGGGGTCGCTGGGATATGGGATGTGGGGTCAGGGGGATCTGGCACCGCTGGGGTTGGATGAGCTCGTGCAGTGTCAGAAGTGAAAATCTGGGATTGGATCCATCACACCAATGGATCCATCACCCCCAAATCCATCCCAAAATCCCATCCCTGTGGATTTGGGATAAAAATCCCACTCGGCATCCCAACAACACAACTCCAGTGGGGACTCTGCTCCTCTCCTGGACAGCCCACACCAAAAACCGGGAATTTGGGATGGGATGGATCACCCCAAATCCATCCCACAAATCCTTTCCCTAAGGATACGGGGAAAATTCCCACTCTCCATTCCCCCAACACAATCCCAAGCCTGAAATCTGCTCCTTTCCTGCCCCAAAAATTCGGGATTGGGGCCAGAGCGGCACCGTTGGATCGGCCCAAACCAAAACAATCCCTGGGAATCCAAATCCCTCAAAACCACCTGGAACGGGGCAGGAATTCCCTCAGAGCCGGGATTGGGACCTGCCGGGAATCACAGCCGGAGCCATTCCGGGATCCCTGCTCTGCTCAGCCCCTCCCGATGGGATTTCACGGGAATTCACCGGCTTCTGGCCAGAAATGGGGATCCAGAGGGATCCAGAGGGATCCAGAGGGATCCAACACCTCAGGGATGCATCCCGAAAATCCCAGCCCTTGGGAATTCACGGGATCAGGGGCTGCTGGATGGGATCCTGACCCCAATCCCAGGGTTTTCCATTGGGATCCTGACCCCAATCCCAGGGTTTTCCAGTGGGATCCAAACCCCAATCCCAGGGTTTTCCAGTGGGATCCTGACCCCAATCCCGGGGGTTTTCCAGCAGAATCCTGACCCAAATCCTGGAGTTTCTCCATTGGGATCCTGACCCCAATCCCGGGGATTTTCCAGTGGGATCCAGCAAGATCCAAACCCCAATCCCAGGGGTCTTCCATTGGGATCCCAGCCCCAATCCCAGGGGTTTCCATTGGAATCCAGCAAGATCCAAAACCCAATCCCAGGGGTCTTCCATTGGGATCCCAGCCCCAATCCCAGGGATTTTCCATTGGGATCCCGACCCCAATCCCAGGGATTTTCCATTGGGATCCTGACCCCAATCCCAGGGGTTTTCCAGCAGAATCCTGACCCAAATCCTGGAGTTTCTCCATTGGGATCCTGACCCAAATCCCAGGGATTTTCCATTGGGATCCCGACCCCAATCCCAGGGATTTTCCATTGGGATCCCGACCCCAATCCCAGGGATTTTCCATTGGGATCCTGACCCCAATCCCAGGGATTTTCCATTGGGATCCCGGCCCCAATCCCAGGGATTTTCCATTGGGATCCTGACCCCAATCCCAGGGGTTTTCCATGGGGATCCCGACCCCAATCCCAGGGGTTTTCCAGTGGGATCCCGACCCCAATCCCAGTGTTTTTCCATAAGGATCCCAACCCCTGGGATTTTCCAAGGGGATCCATCCCTGTTCCCGCTCCCAGCCCTGGCCCTTCCCTGGATACGGTCTCTAAAACAAAGGGAAACATCGGGATCACGGCAGGAATCCCCCACCCATCCCCAAATCCCAGCACGGCCGGGCCGGGCTCCTCTCCCGGGAGGAAATTCCCAATAAATCCCTGGAAAAAAAACAACCTGGCCCCGGCTCCAGGGGGGGAAAATGGGAATGGGAAGCACCTGGAGCTGTGATCCCGCTTTTTAAAGGGAGTTTTCCTTCAAATGTCTCCTTTCCTCCAAATCTGGGAGTTGAATTGAACAAAAATAGGGAAAAATCCTTGGATTCTTTCCCTGGAATGATCCTGGATTGTTTTCTTCCCATAGAAGTCAGGAAAAAAGCAGGAATTTGGTGTCGTGCTCCCTGAAAATCCAAAAAAATCTGGGAAAATTGAGGTTTCATGGAAGTGCTGACCCCTGAGAAAGGGGAATTTTGGGATTAAATATCCCAAAAAAATCCACAAAACTTGTTAAATTCACTTCCAACGCGGAGGAGATCCCGAGATTCTCCTGGCTCTCGGAATCCGCAGGGATGGGAGACAGAAATCCCAAAAATTCATGGATTTTCCTCAGAAGGGAGCAGGAAAATCTCCCAGAGGAAAACAAGGATCCCTCGGAAAATCCCCCCCCCACTCTCCACTCCGGAGGTTTTCCCTGGGAAGAGAATTCCGTGAGCATTCAAATAATTTCGGGATAAACGGGAAAAACGAGTTCCTGGAGCTTCCCAGGGCTCAGCCCCCGTGGGATCCCTGCGGATATTTTGGAATTTTTCCCACTAAATTCAGGCCAAAACCATCAGAATTCCCAATTATCCCAGAAAATCCTGGCTTGGGTGGGGAGAAAAATCCCAAATCCCGATTTTTGGGCGAATTTTCCAGGGAAAAAGATGAACTTTTCCCTCTCAGCTCCTGGTGGGAATTCTGCCAGGAGTGGGATCCCAGGGATAAGAACAATTCCCAATTAAATGGGAAAAAAATAAAAAAAACTACAAAAATTTGGATCAATCCTGAATTTTCCTCTTTTTTTTTCCTCCTAAATCCAGCAGGAATTCCCAAAAATCCATGCCCAGCCCAAATAAATTGGATTTTCCAGGAAGAAGGGGAGCTCCAGAGGCTGGGGAGGAGGAAGAGGAGGAAGCTCCTGATAAAATATCCCAAAGGAAAAGGAATCTCATGGAAAACCGGCACTTCCAGGGGCTGTTTGGGGCTGGAATTTGGGAATTTGGGAATTCCCACCCCTGGAATCAGCTGGGAATGTGGCAGTTTTATTCCTGAGTGGGTTCAGCTTCAATCCTGAATAATCCCCAATTGATCCCAAATCATCATTCCAGCCCCGAATTCCAAGGGATTCCCGGAATCCTGGGATTCCCAGGGTTCTCAGGGTGGGAATAATTAGTGCCAGCCGGGATAATTGGCTGGAACAGGGAGGGGTTAAAGCTGGGAGGGAACTCCTTGGGATCCATCCCAAACTTCTGGATCTGTCTGGAGCTGCCCTGGATCCATCCTGAGCCTCTCCAGATCCATCCCAAACTTCTGGATCCGTCTGGAGCTGCCCTGGATCCATCCTGAGCCTCTCCAGATCCATCCCAAACTTCTGGATCTGTCTGGAGCTGCCCTGGATCCATCCTGAACCTCTCCAGATCCATCCCAAACTTCTGGATCCATCCTGAGCCTCTCCAGATCCATCCCAAACTTCTCTGGGTGCATCCCAGACCTCTCCAGATCTGTCCTGAACCTCCCTGGATTCATCCTGGCTCTTCCTGGATCCATCCTGAACTTCCCTGGATCAATCAGGACCCTCTGGATCCATCCCAGGCCCCTCCAGATCCATCCTGAACCTCTCCAGATCCATTCAGAGGTTCCCTGGATCCATCAGGACCCTCTGGATCCATCCCAACCTTCCCTGGATCCGTCCTGAACCTCTCCAGATCCACCAGGACCCTCTAGATCCATCCTGAACCTGCCCAGATCCATCCTGAACTTCCCCTGGATCCACCCCAAACTTCCTTGGATCCATCCCAGACCTCTCCAGATTCATCAGGACCATTTGGATCAATCCTAACCTTCCCTGGATCCACCCCAGACCTCTCCAGATCCATCAGGACCCTCTGGATCCATCCCAGCCTTCCCTGGATCCACCCTGAACCTCTCCAGATCCACCAGGACCTCTCTAGACCCATCAGAACCCTCTGGATTCACCCCAACCTTCCCTGGATCCATCCTGAACCTCTCCAGAGCCATCCCAGCCTTCCCTGGATCCATCCCAGACCTCTCCAGATCCATCCCAGACCTCTCCAGATCCATCAGAACCCTCTGGATCCATCCTGAACCTCTCCAGATCCACCAGGACTGTCCAGATCCCTCCCGATCCCGTGGATCCCTCCCTCTCCCCAGCGGCGGGCAGCGCTGGATGGATCCCGGCAATCCCAAATCCCTGGACACTCACCTCAGGCAGGAGCGATCCCAGCCGTGCCCGGATCCCTGGAACCCCGAGCGGGAGCGTTTCCCAGGAATCTTCGATCCCCTTTATCCTCCTCCTCCTCCTCCTTGGATTTTTGTGTGATTTTTCCTTTTTGTTTTAATTCTTTTTCTTTAAATAAAACTCCCCAAAAAAATCCCCCGCGGAGGCTCCCAAAGTTCCAGCGGCGGCCGCAATTCCAGAGGCCGGGATGGCTGGCAGTCCTTGCCGGAAAACACCGGATTTTTATCCAAAAAAACCCCCCTTTTTTTTTTCCTTAAATTCCTAAATAATAATTTATCGAGGAAAAGCCAAGTGCGGCGTTACCCTTAAGTCATTCCTGGTTCCAGGGACAGCATTCCCGAGGGAGGAATTCCCTGGATCACGGATTTCACACGGATTTGGGTTCGCTCAAAGCAAAAACCGCAGTAAAAAAGCCAAAAAAACCTCGTTGGAGTGAAGAAATCCTTGGAATTTCATCCCGCGCCTCAAATCCCGGGATTTTCTGACCCTTGGGAGGAGACGAAATCCCGGGGAAAAAAAAAAAAAAAACGGGAAAAGCGCTGCTGTTAAATACGACAAATACAAAACGAAAAAGCTCCGATTTTACAGCGATTTCGGCTGAAATCGGCTCCAAATTCCGGAGAGAAAGAACCAAAACCGGGAACACCGGGGGGTTCTTCCCGTTAAAGGCCTTTAAAGCCCCGGTTCGGCCCCGGTTCGGCCCCGGAGGCCTCGGGAAGGGCCCGGCTCGAGCCCAAAAAGCTCCGCTCAAGCCTCGGCCAGGCCTCAAACGGCGCCGCCGAGCGCCGGGCAGGCCCCAAACGGCCCCGCCGAGCCCCGAAAGGCGGCGGGGAGGCCCCGGTAAGGCCGCGGGGAGGCCCCGGTAAGGCCGC